ATCCTGCCTGCGTTCTTAACAAAAAAAGAATGTAACCGTAATTTAATGGAAAATGCGTGTGGGAAAAGCAAAAGATTTGATTTGCTGAATACAGAAAGAGACAAGCTCCTCTGTGCAATCTAACTATACCTCTTCGGTGATTTTTCTCCTTTTTATGGGTGCATGCATGTGTGTGCGTGTGCGCGCGCGTGCGTGTATCTGAGGTCCTGACCCTCTCAACATTTCAGCAAATGAATAACCGTACTCATATAAACAAAACTGGGCTTCTTCATAAATGAAACATTCACATGAGATCTGAACCATTAAAAAGCTATTTTATCTATTCTAAGGGTTGCTGAAAGACTGAAGGGTACAGAGGCACAGTACCTCTGCGAGAGGATCAATACCAACGTAGTAAGGTTACTAATGTGCATAAGCAGCTGAAGGGTAAGAGTCCGATTAGCAAAAAAATCTCCACTCACAACGATATGTTCAACGCCCTCATTGAACCCATTTGCTGGCACAAAGCAGCTTTTCAAAGCTCCATCTCCTCGACCCTTATAGCTACGCGCACCGATGCAACTCTGCCCACTCTGGGCATGCAACTGCTGGCTTGATGGCACAAGGCTAAGACTGTTACAACTCAACACGTTTGGAAAATATAATCTGGGAATGCAACAGGGCATGCTGCTCTTCTCCGCCAGAAGTCGCTTTAAAAGACCTAACCCAAACTTTCAACAATTTAACATTCATGATAAAACGTAGCTCAAGTCAGTCATTAAACCTCAAAGGGATCCCTAAATTGTGTTTTTCTTAATGAATTTGATGATCGATTCTTACTATACAAATAAGGTGTGGGATGGATCAGCTAATAAGGATTCTCAGTTAATTGCTTTCTTCAAGTGACAATTCGTACAAATGATACCATCAAAGGAGTAATAATATCCTTATTGATTAAATTAATCTCTAAAAGACAGCTCAAATGAGTTTAATTAGCGATGCATGACAGTAGCACAAAATACTCTAAAAACAACCTATCCCAGACTTTGAAATCACGGCAACAGCCACAGAATAGCCCTTTGTATCTTTATTCAGATAGACACCACACGATTTTATGGAACATCTTAGTAAATGCCTGTGACTAACCGTGAAAATCCATGAAACCCCCCCATCCAGATAAAAAGTGAGCAGCACATCAAAAGCAAACAGACTTCCTGCTAGTCAAACACTCACTAAAAGCCATGTCCACAACAGTTTTCCTTAAAATAAAATAAACATTTTCTGTGAAGGGAGTAGAGATTGCAAGAGGACCTTCTGCACCAAAATTCAAAAGTGAAGTTGCGGGGTGGGAGGGGAGGCGGAGCAGCGTCAACACGCTTCAAGCCACAGGAACTGGGTATGGGGTTCAAGAAATCAGAGCAGAATCCTGGTCAGCACAGCAATGAGTTACCCCCTTCCATCCCTCCCCCAGAAAACGCCAAAGCAAAACAAAAATAAAAAGAAAAGAAAAAAATTAAGAGACCAGGATACTATTTCAATGAGATCAACAGCAGGAGCTGGGCCTGGGGAATGTCTTCGGGGTTAGGTGGTGGTCCCCAACATTCACATGGTCCACGGGGAGTGACGGGAGCCCAAAGCAACCAGGGGCAATACTTGCCTTCTGTATTCTTACGGTGAGACTGAGGACAAATAAGCCACCAAGGCTGCGGCAATGTTTTCAAGAGGTGCATGTGTTTTTATTCCCTAGCAAGTTTGCATGAAAGCTACTCACGCTTGATATCGGAGAATAAAAAAGGTAAATCTTCCTTCACGGTAATTGGGAGACCAGGTTCCACATGCCAGGTCCTCACCATAGTGAAATTAAAAGGTTTACAGCATTAAAAGCCAATGCCACCGCGTAACATTACCAGATGTGGTTGCCACATAGCCCAGCTACAGCAGCTTCATCAGCGTTGCCTAATTAACAGCTGGGCTGCTGTCTTTCAGCAGAAGGAGGAGATTTTTGACAGTCTGCTGTGGAAAGTTATTAACTCGGAAGAAGGATGATCAAATGTTTGGTGCTTGTGGCTGTCAACGCACTAAGAAAGACCCAGCACTAGTGTAATTTGATTGCAAGGCACACTTTTAAAAAAAAAAAAAAAATTAAGAAATCTGTTGAAAACCTCTCAGTTGAAATACTAGCCTTAACTCCCTCGCTTAGCAAACACTTCTGAGCTCTCTGCCAAGAAAATGGGAATTAGACTTCATTCTGCCTCAGGAAGCGAAGCAGTGGACATCAGGGACAAGACGAGGAATAAGCACAACCTTCTGGAGACCCTCTGGCACGATTAAAAAATATATATACATACAGTAACACAGAGAACAACATGTTCCCCTCGTCAGGGCCAAAGTTACCCCGCAAGCAGAACAAGAATTTGCCTGGGGCAGCAAAATGCTTAATGGCTTTATTATTATTATTTGAGTGAGCCAAGGATGTTTCCTAGCCCATAAGGGACAGCAGCAATCCTGGAGCTACCTTTGTGAACGCAAGTAACTGGGTTTTTTGTTGTTTCTCTTTTTTAAGTGATTCATGCAGAAATGCTCTCACTTAGCTAACTGAAATCAGCAATTCAAGAAAGGAAGTAGCAGTCTTCCTATTTCACCAGATATATACCAAATACCTCTTATTTTAGAATATGTGCCAGGGTATTAATGAAACCAGATGCTTGTATAGTACATAGCCTTAACCTTTCCACATCAGGACAGCACAGCCCCCTCAATTACTTATTTCATTTTGTTTTTCAGATTGCTTCCGTTTAATTTCATCACAATACAGTTAGCTGGTGTTTTTGCTTGAAATAGTGCAATTTATCCACCGCCTCACAGCCTCAATGAGTCTATTATCTCATGTTTGTTCTTTGAGCGTTTTCGCTAAAACAAGAATAATACATTTGAAAAACGCCACAAGCTTCTCAGAAATAGGAGGGAACTTGCATCGTCACTGACAGAAAAATAAATGCCTTTTGTACACTTTGCAGCCACGAATCACTGAGACAGTCAGCAAGGAACCACAGAAATACTGCGCTGACTCTTGCCAGTTATTAAACAGCCAAAAAGGGAGGAGGAAAAAAAACACAACAACCACACAAAGCCCCAACATCCTATATTAAGAATGAACCCTTAAAGGATTATTAAAAAGTCTTCCATTACTGACAGTGGATTACAGGCCTATTACAGACCCCATAACAGACTGTTTGTAGATCAGGATTATTAGAAACAGATACATCTATCTGAGACCTGAAATCTGTAACAACTATCTGCTCCCTTACACATCCCATGGACAGCCTTGTACCAGCTATTTATAACTGAAATCTTACTGCAAAGGGGAACTCAAATATCTGGCAAGAGCAGGCGTAATTTCTGACGTCGCCAAAGGAACGGGGTCAGCTACATCACCTACACAAATTTTCCCTCTGTATTAGTTGCCTGGCATTCACACACGAAGGCCAGCATATATCAAGTGGGACCGCTTTGCCACGAGGTCTCGGTGGCCCAAAGGGACACCTGCACCGAGACTGATTTTCAGAGCACAGTGCTCAGGAAGCTTTGAAGAAAAATCTACTTTCTAAGTAGTCTTACAGGGTGGATTTCCTAAATATTTTGGTTATCCAAACCACCAATAATTTTTAAGTGTTGGCCAGAACACAGAGCGCATGAGTGCATGAACAGCAGGGTTGGAAATGCAAGTCTGAGCGAGCCACCGGGGAAAGAGAGAGATTATTTATTTCCAAAAAGATGTTTACTAGCTAGTCTTTCCTAAAATTTCAGCACATGAAAAAAGAAAGGACATAGGCTCACCATTTGTCCCTGAGATATCCATCTTATTTTTCTAGTTAAAAAGCCAATCTTGCATGAAATCCCCCAAAAACCTAACAGATGGGTTGAATTATTAATTGTGAGAAGAATAGTTCTAAACCCTAAAAACCCTATAAACAAACAAAGAAGGATATTCACAAGGGAAGCTGAGTCTGGAGTCAGATCTCTCTAGGCCCAGGAAGCCAGTTGCATGATGATGTGCAATAATTACTTCATACAGAGAAGAGCTATGTGGCATATTTAAAGCCTTTAATTTCTATTCCCTTGTTTAAATTAGATTATCGCTCCCTGTAGCCAACAACAATAGATTTATTTTTAAGTTTCTTTTGATTTGCCAGCACAGCAAATATCCTCTGGTAAATCTATGAACTAAACAATGATTTTTCATTTTTACAACTGCACAGTCAATTCAATTTTCCAGTTAAAAGTCTCAGGTCTCTCCCTATCAGCTTGTTAACGTACAAGTGCTTTATTCTAAAACATGCCTGGGAGAATCTCCGTTTACTTTACCATCCCAAGATGCTTCTGAACATTGACTTCATTGCTTATGAATCACTTTACCGTATGTAAACACTTGAACCACTAAACTACATCTAATTTTGCATATAGTAATCGAGTGATGTTGTCACAGCAGAGTCTATAACTAGGCATGTCTGTGTGGATTTACTGAGGCAGCACTGAAAACGTGGCTATTAATGTTTCACTTATCAAAGCAGGTTTTGCCCGTTTACGAACATGTTGCATTTGCAGCTGCTAAATGCCTCCAAAGTATTTTCAGGCTTCACGCCTTCTTGAGGTATTCACAAGAGTCCCACCAGCCCCCCTAAGGGTGTTCACGTGACAGAAATAGCACAATATTTTTTCTGATATTTAAGATACCCGCAACTTACAGTAACTGGTGTCACAGGAGCTATTTACGTTGCCAAGCCATTTGATCTCAATAGCTTTTTGCATCAGGCAGACAGATAAGCACCCAAGAAAGAAAAAAGTACCTTCACTCCTAAAAAACAAGTCACTTCCCCCCTAAGCTGTAATTAAAATGTTATAAAACGAATCAGCCCTCAGTTCTCACGAAGCTTTCTAATAACTATGTTAACTGTTAAAGTGTGCCTTTGGGTTTCTTAAATACTCTAAGGTGCAATTGTTCTTGCAGATGTGTCACAAACCTTGATACCCAGCTCTATGTTCTCTCCTCCGTACACGTCCATCCCAGGATCGAGAAGACCTATCTCTCCAAAGAACTTCCTGTGCACAACAAAGGAGCAACCGATCATCGCTGGCGTCCTGTACAAAGAGAAAAGTGCACAATGATTGTAATTTTGCAATTTTTAATGGACCAAGGACTTCTGCAAAACTCCTGTTTTGCGTGCGCTTCCTGCCACTGGTTATCCCAGAGACTTCACAGCAATGATTGGGCTCTGAAAACTTAAGAGACATTATTTTACCACTGCAATGAAGTTCTCCAAAATTCAAATTCATTACACGGTGCATAAACTGGAGAATCTTCCTAGGATTAAAGTATTAAAAAACTTTCAGTTCTCGGCCCCGTCACAAACGTCCTGGTGTGGCTATGGACACATCTTTGTGTTTCCATCCCCATATGCAAAGGAAGTTCAGTAATAATTTTTCCTTTCTATTACTTTCTTCTAGCTCTAACAATAGAGTAGATTTCAGGGCAATTACAATGCCTTGTGAAATAGGCTTTCTGATTGCGATCTTTACAGTATGTTAGGAAAGAGCCCCTACTAACTAGCAGCAACGACGAGGCTGAAGCAAATCCTCTAAAAACTCAAGACAACTGTCTGCAGAAACATCTGCTGCGTTATTTGCCCTGTTGCACCACTATCAATGTTGCTTCGGGTTAGCGTGTGATAAAGTTCACGCTCCTACATCCCGTGGGACCTCCTGCCCGCCAGCTAACAGTCCTATTCGTCTCCACCTCCAGAAGAGCAGCCAAGCACAAAGTGTCTGGTCAGGGAAAACAACAGAGGAAAACTACCAATAACAACATCGCAAAAATAGCAGAAAAACTGAGCAAAAAACACAATGTCAAGGGTTAACTTATGATAACTATGCAATTCCAAGGATGTTTTAAATGGTTTTGTTTACTAACCACCCCAGTTCTCATACGCACATGCACCAGCCATCCCTTGTTACCACGAAACAACTAAATCCATCATTCGGGAAGGCTGGACCAGATCTCCCGAGCAAAGGATGCTGTTCTGATTCACATAAGCTGAGAACACGTCTGGTGTGGGGGGTTCTTTTTGTTTTTTGTTTTTTGTTTTTTTTTGAGTGGTTAAACACTTGCCACCCTCTCCACAAAGTCACGCTGTGCCACAGAGCATGGGCACTTGACACAACTCTATCATTATGATCTTGCTGCTTTGGGGTATACTAATCTGTTGTGGCTACAGCGAGTGGGAAGTTTAGCCGTCGGGATACTTTCTGTGGTAAAACAGAATACCATTCTTGCCTTTCCTTTGGATGTACTTTCATTTGGCTCTGTGCTGTAACGGATAAAGAAAAAAACCAAGGATCCACTTACAGGGATCAGCAG